TCGACTCAGCCTCTAACAGAAATGAGTACCAGGAATCTTCCTGGAGGCTTAGGGCGGCTGGCGCGTAAGGCTGACAACCTCACCGCAATCTATGAGACGATTGTCTAGAAAATGTGGGAGCCTCGACGTCTCACAAACTTAAGGACCTCCATGGCCTGTTACTGGGATAGCGTTACCTCTTCTTTTTACTTTACCTAAATAAGTAACATTCCTTTGTTTTGTATGGGTCCGAAACTTGGTCTCTCTTTTGTGAGTTATCTACCGACGCTGTCAGTAGCTCAGACTCTACAGGCTCTGATGGTAGGTCGACTGATTTGTGATGAATTGTAATGGATTTGGAAGGAAACGGTTGTGTTCTAAATGAGGTACGATCATGAATTTCCGCACGAAGAAGACATCTTGAAATCAAAAGAAAGTAACGAAAGGAAAATGGCGGATACTTGGATTGTTTAGCGACGGTTTCGAATTGCACTGTGTGCGTTATACAGAGCAAATTTAAGACGGTAAGTTATACATGAATTGATTTGTAGCCATTTCTAAACACTGCTTCGTGCAGTGTCTGCTTGATGCTCACAATATTCATGCAACTAGAATGGCGAATGAGAGCTGTTTTCTCATTTTCTTTACACCATTTGAAATCCTTGTTCAGTATTCAAATATTTATAACAGAAAACTTCACAAAACACAAGTTTTGGCATCTCTCAGCTCAACCGCTAGAGCCTCTGAAGGATGACAATGAGCAATGAATTATAAAGCACGTGGATGTAAGCGATTGTGGTCTAATTTAACATAAAATTCCAGAAATTTCCTGTACGGACTGGAGAGAAACCATAGTCTGTCTTCTTGACGAGATTTGAACCCTGCATCAGTCAGATACAAAGCACAAGTGACAGTGGGCTCTGAACAATGAAATTATTCACTCTTTCTTAATGCAGTAAGCACTATATCATGAAGGCGTATTACGGAGTGACGGTATAGCTCCACGTACTTTTAACCTCGGCATTAGTTTTAGGTGAATGAGTAACTTCATGCCCCTTTACCCCCCTGGGATAGGCCCACCATTGAAGAGGAGGCTGGGTGGGCCCAAGAGTCGGTCTCGTCCTGTGAAGAAGAGATTCCTGCCCTTCCTGGGAATCCAGATTGTCCGGTTGGCCAGGATTTTTCCTGGTCATCACCCCGCCAGAGCTACACAGGACCCAGAAGCCTGATACCGTTAGTTCAATAATTAACAGTTCTGATTACACAAGGGCATATTCATGTTTTTTAATGGTTTGTGTTCCTAGGGCCTATCGCATTTTACTGAAACTTAACTAGATCCATCATCTTTTATAGTTTTTTCGCATATATTGCAAAAAAAAAGTTAATTACATTAATTCACATTTAATTCATACAATAATTGTTTAGTGTATAAAATGTTATTAAAATTATTTAAATATTAAAATATACAATATACATATGCTGTTATGCTGCTGCAGGTTTCGGCCTTATATGGACATCTTCAGTCAACATTTGTTTAAGGATTCTAATTCACTGTACTCCAATCATGTAGCAGTCTTAACATATGCCGTTGGTGTTGCTTTATATCTTTTTGTATTGCGGCTGTTTCTATGTCATATTAGTTGTGTTACTTTTCGTTGTGCGTATCAGGTGTTGCCTTAAGTTCCTTGTATGTTGCCTGAAAATTGCCTTGTAAGGCCGAAGCTATCTCTGTACCAGGTCGTGAAGGCCCATAGGGTTGTGAGACGTTGAGGGTCCCACATTATCTAGACAATCGGCTCAAAGATGGCGGTAAGGGTGTCAGCCTTACGCGGCCAGCCGCGCTTTACTCCCCAGGAAAATTATTTAATTAATTCCTGGTATTCATTTCTGTTAGAGGCTGAGTCAACCCCAGGGCCTAGTGCGGCTGGAAGGATTAGGTCAATTGAAAAAATCCAATGACCTCATCGGGACTTGAACCTGCGTCCCTTGTAAGGCCGAAACATGTAGTAATATAAAACATGTATATATTTTAATATATTCAATTCAATTCAGTTCTTCAATTCTTTATTATTTATGTGGTCAACAGCCCCAAGGCCAATTACAGACAGAGCACAGTGTAGATGAAAGTAATTCCATTATAGACAAGCACATTATAAGTCATAGACAAATTACAGTCAAGTACTTGGGAAAACACAATAATGAAGGAAAGTAAACTAACAAACAAACAAATGGTAATAAAAATAATAATAATAATTTCATTAACATAAAACTAAGTGTATTAAGAAGTGAGAAATGAAACAAATATTTAATTAATAATAATAATAATAATATTAATAAAATTTTATACATTTAACGATCATTGATTGATTGATCAGTAACTGTCAGACGACAGGTCCACAGTCTCTTCCAAAACAGTTCCTCCACTTAATGTGATCTTCTGTTTTTGGAAAGAGACTGTCCAGGAAAAGTGATAATGTGGTAGTTTTTCCATTTGCTTTCCACATCGCAGTACAACAGCCGTTCAAACCACTCTGGTCACGCCTGTTGCTATACGAACTTGAACCATCTCGAGCATCATTTGTTCTGTGCTTCAAGTCGCTGCTGATGACGCTGCTTCCGGCATCAGTTTTTGGTTTTTGGTGTCTCTCTTCGTCTGATGCCTACCCTTTGACCTGTCCAGCAAGGGAGGCCCTGCCAGTAGCTACGCTACCGCTGGTATAGCTCTCAGGGTCCTTGGCATACTCAAACCCCCTCACCACGATAAGGTGGAGACACCAACGAGGGGGAACGATCATTATATGAATTAAATATGAAGTAATGTTATTAATTTTGCATTGTAGGCGGAAAAAGAAAACATCTATAAAAGGTTCGTACATCAATGCAACAGGATTATGAAATGCGTGCAGTTGTAACGAGGTGCGTGGCAGCCAAGTATACCCACCAGGGGTACATAATTTTGTGGGGGGGGGGCATGCAACGACCACAATATGACTAGATGCTCCCGACTTAAGCTCCCATTAAATTAACACCCATTTGACTTACTCTTCGAATTTTCGGACTTACTAATCGAACTCGAATTTCGGAATAGTTAAAGAGTTACATCTTCTGGGATATAACACCGTGAAGTCAACCGACATTTCGGAGTAACATATTCAGCGTCGAAGAATGAAGGAAGCGAGAAACCAGTGCGAAGCAAGTTACCTCTCTGAGAACCTAAAATCTTATATTAGCTGAGATTTTGTAATTTTGTAATTCATTCATCTGCACTGTGCTGTGTCTGTAATTGGCCTTGCGGCTGTTGACCCGGCACATTAATAATAAAGAATTGAATTGAATTTTCCGGCATACTGGTGCTGCAAAGAGCAACATTAGGGTACCAATATTCAAGAGGGCTAACATCTCCTTGCTGGTTACAAGATCTCAAGAGAAGAGAGTCCAGCCAGCCTTGGGCAACCTACCCAGAAACCCCAACACTGCAGGGGCCACTCTCCCGTTTCCCTTTCCGGAGATATATTTTTTTTATTACTAGTGGGGTGGGACTAAGTTCCTTGTACTGCGGCCACTTCTGACCTATTGTACCAGCCCCAGATGATAGGTGAGGGTGATTGTGGAGCAATTGGTGGAATGAAGATTGGCAGGGGAAACCGAAGTACTGGGAGAGAACCTGCCCCTGCGCCACTTTGTCCACCACAAATCCCACTTGACCAGACCCGGGATCGAACCCGGGCCGCCGCGGTGGGAAACCAGCGACTAACCGCTTGAGTTATGGCGAGGACTTTCCTGAGATAAGTCCCTACCAAAATCTCCCACAATCAGAGATCTCGTATCGAATATTACCTCTAAGCTGCGCGCGCACGTGTCTCAGTCATCTGCGAAAATTTAATGGTTTTAGTATACATAGTCAAGTTGAATAAAAACAAAATTGGAAAAAAGTAAATTGCAATTTTTTTAATCATCGAACTGTAACGAGAATAAGATGTGGATCTATACCTCCACTCACCCTCACACCTTCATGGCGAAATGCTTAATTAGTTAAGCACAGGCACAACTTTACTTTTGTAATTTTTGTTATTTTGGGAGCCTATAAATTTAATGTCTCTTATGGACCTTCTTCGCAAAACGCTGCACACGACCCCGGGGTGCCGTAGTGAACCCAACTGCCGCTCAAAAGACACCATGACTTGCGAACTTGTACTCCCGATGTAGAGGGAACTTCGTTCGTGTCTCAATTCGATAAGGGACTGGACATGTCCCATCTCAGCATTTGCTTAAAACAGGGAGGAAACCAGGAAAACCCGTGTCGAGAAGGCATCCTTCCAGATCCATACTGACTTTAACCAGCGGTCCGGTAGACAAAAAGTACAGCAGATCCCCTAACGCATGCGCTGTTGCTTTACTACTAATATGAATTTAAAGTCACGTATACTCAATTTAAAGTCAAAGTCACATTACGACCGACAGACAGTTGGCCAGTCCGGCTTGGTGTCAAGCCTCAACTGGGGCCCAAGACCAGATTTTTTTTATTGTCAGACAGTTGTGGTTCGTCGAAGTGGGGAGCCCTGCCTGACACTTCTTCTCCGCTACAGAGCCCAACCGGTTAATGCTGTTTAGGGAAACAGTCGCTGTTTACTGTGAGAACCATATGGAACACACAGATACACTCTGTGGGCAGAATGCTGAGTTTTAGCATGTTAAGTCCGTACCTCACAGGAAACACATCACGTCTCCGCTACAAAGCCCTACCGGTTAACGCTGTTTAGGGAAACAGTCGCTGTTTATTGTGAGAACCGTACGGAACACACAAATACACTCTGTGGGCAAAATGCTGAATTCTAAACTTTAAAGAAGCTGGTATATATAGTTACCACTGTAATTTAAAGAGTTAATATGCCTCGGACAGTGCGTGCTGTGGTGTGACACAAGTCTATAGAGACGGGTATGCTCAACCTACACGCAACATGCTGTTGGTGGATGGGGGAGGGGGGGGGCACGACAAGGAGATCTGATCAGAGCGGTGGGACTACAGCATCAGTAGAGGTCCAGCGACCGCCCGTGTGCCTCGCGTGTGCAGATATCTTCAGTGTATCACCGCCAAAGTAACACAGGCAAGTGATAGCATTGTTACATGTAAGATTATTAATTCTATATTTCTGCAGAATAAAATAAATTACAAGAAGTTCTGGCAAGAGAGAGAGAGGTAGAACGTATAATAATAAAGTAGATAAAGTTGAAAATGAAAAAAGCGTGAAACATTTTATTGTGATGAGGGAGACAGAGAATTATTTTGTTAGAAGGTTTCCACGCTTCGCCCACTAATCCTTGTGAATTAGTATCGGTGTATAATTTGGAAAACAAAATAATTTAGGGGCTTTGACAGTCAGGGAACTTAATTTTTATTAACTTAAATTAGGACGCAGTAGCAATTTAGAACTTGGAAACCATTCCAGCATCTGCTTAAAGATCTGAACTGTAAGCACATCTGATTCATATTTAAGTATTCAGTCCGTACCTCACAGGAAACATTACGTCTCCGCTACAAAGCCCAACCTGTTAATGCTGTTTAGGGAAACAGTCGCTGTTTACTGTGAGAACCATACGGAACACACAAGTACACTCTGTGGGCAGAATTTAAAAGGTATAGCCGTTAGCATAAACACGTGTACTTACAAATTTGCTTTAAATGGCTATGCTAGTAGCCGAATTCTAACTGCGGCCGTCCAGGTTCGATCCTAGGTCAGGTCGAGTGAGATATGTGGTGGATAAAGTGGCAGTGGAGAGGGGTTCTCTCCGAGTAATTCTCCTTCTCCTTACCAACTCTCACTCTACCAATCACTACAATTCAATTAATTATCCTAATACTGATTATATGTAGTCTCGATACTGGATCGTGAAATAGCCAACTAAAAATTAAAGGATTATACAAACACTGAAACAAATCTTGAGAACTACAGAATGAACTGTTGAAGGAATTACTCGGACATGAGAGAAGTGAAGTAAGTAAGAAGTAAGAATTGTGTAACAAGAAATTTTATGGCAGTAGTTCCCACTCTTTTCCAAATATAGCGAGAGTGACAACGTGACTGTAAAACCGATAGGCGGATATATTTACAAAAAAAAACCCATCAAAACTCAAAATTTACTAACTAAAAGAGAATCTTAAGATTTATATAATAATATAAAATCCTGAAATTCTTTCAACAAATAATCTCTTGAAGATTTCTATCTTCTGGGATATAACATCGTGTAATGCGTTGTAAGTCAAACGACGTTCCGGAGGGAAAAGCCCTTATTGCTAGCTGCTTAATACTGGCTTCTTTCTTGGCTTATATTTTGACCCTGAAGATAGAGGCGATATTTTCTTCCGAAATGTCCGTTAACTTACAACTTGTTAGACGTCGATATATCCCAGAAAATATGACTTTCCATATCTACGGCTGTGAGAATTCCAAATCCTAAACAGGCTCTTGTGTCCAATGATCAGGTTTGCATTTTTACAACGAAGTGAATGTTACGAAAGTCATCTCGACTCTCTGCCACTGCACGTCAGTGTGTGTGTGCGCGTGCGTGAGTGCGTGTGGCTCATCCTTTACCTTTCCAACCACTCACATGACGCTCTTCGAAAACATAAGCATAAACGCCTCTTCTTCCTCCGGAAAACGATTACTTTCCTTGCCAGTATCACAGTGTATAGATAGCAGTAATAAATTTGGTGGAGGCCCATAGGGTTGTGAGACGTCGAGGCTCCCACATTCTCTAGACAATCGGCTCATAGATGGCGGTGAGTTTGTCAGCTTTACGCACAGGCAGCTCTTTATCCACAGGAAGCTTCCTGGTACTCATTTCTGTTAGAAGCTGAGTCGATCCCAAAGCCATAGTGCGGCGGGAAGAATTAGGCCAATTGAAAAATCCAACAACCTCCTCGGGAATGGAAACCGCGATCTTCCGGCTTGTAACGTAGTGCCTCAGTCAACTACACCGCCGTGTGCCCCCTGCGGCTTGTAACGTAGTGCCTCAGTCAGCTACACCGCCGCGTGCCCCCTGCGGCTTGTAACGTAGTGCCTCAGTGAACTACACCGCCACGTGCCCCTGCGGCTTGTAACGTAGTGCCACAGTCAGCTACACCGCCGTGTGCCCCCTGCGGCTTGTAACGTAGTGCCTCAGTCAGCTACACCGCCGTGTGCCCCTGCATAATGTGAACAACATCAAAATCAAGAAATTGAAGTGTATTCATGTAATTAAAAATACACAATTTTGGATAAGGATTTGGGAGTTCAGTGACTGGGGTTATCTGTTTGTAACAGAACCAACACAGTAGGTATATCCTACACCCTCAACTGAGGGCGGAAGCAGATCTAATTTCCGAAATGTTTTGTTCTAAAGAATACCGGACGATGGACAAAGCGCAAAAACCCAGTACTCCCGAATGTTACACACCACCGTCAGAACCCTTTGGGATCTACAAAAAACAGTAACAGATTGGTCTTTGTGGCCAAGACGTCATGTGTTTCCTGTGAGGTACGAACTGAAGTTTTATATTACTTACAAGAATTTCAAGAAGCCGGGATAGCGTAGTCAGTATAGCGACTGGCTACTGGCTACGGTAGGGCCAAGAAGTTCTCTTCTCCATGTCGTCTGGACCGACTCTGGGGCCCACCCAGCCTCCTATCCAATGAGTACAGGGGGATCTTTACTCTGGTGTAAGGCTGCAAGGGCGTGAAGCTGACCAATCACCTCCAATTAGTGCCGAGGTCAATAAAATGCGGATCTATATGTCCACTCCACCATACGTCTTCAAGACGTAGTGCTTAATTAGTTAAGCAGAGGGACAAGTTTACCTTACCTTACATTAACATTCTGTCTCCCCATCACAATAGATATATAAGTTCGCCAATATTCTAATAATCACAAATATAAATATATGTATGTTCGTATCCATGTATTTGCATATAGTCATGTATTCTCTTCTCCATCTGCTATACAGAACTGTTTGGTGCTCGTCCCAAATATTCACATAAAAAGAAGGATCTGTAAAAATAAATAAATAAATAAATAAATAAATAAAGCAACAGCCAGACAGGGACTGATGCTAGGGTTCGCGCATTTAATGCCTGACAGTTTGCATCCGGAAGGTCGTGCAACCGGCCAACTCGACCAAGGTTTTCCGTGGTTTTCCTCGGTCCTAAAGCAGATTCTGGGTTGGTACCCAAACGCCACTTTTCACTGCAAGCCTCGCATGCAGCCCTCTCGTTGGTAACGTCAGAATTTCGCCCTAATCTCAGCGTATGTTTTGCTTTCATTTTTATGCCGTCTATGTGCAACGTTGGTTACTGTTCATTCGTCGTTTTTCTTTATTGACACTTCATGTTTCGGCCTAACCGGCCATCTTCAGGTGTACAGGCTGTTGTGATGAAGGAACCTGCTGCTCACTGTAATGTTGTTATGCTTTCTTATGTAATTGCCTCGGATTACTTCTGGTTATGTGGGTTAACCATCTGTTTTTATATAGGTATTAACCCACATAACCAGTTCATTGTACTACACAGTCCGGCAACAATGCAACAAATTGTTCCTCCTGTCTTACACTTTCACTTTCGACACAACATGTTTCGGCCCTAAATGGCCATCTTCAGGCGTCTTACTATGCTGAAACTGCTACACTGCACTAATATTGTCCATTCGTCACATATGGGACTGTACGCTTCATGGTTTAAACCATCATACTCGTGGTCTAACGGTGTGCGCTAAAATAGCACACGCTGTAGTTCACTTAATTTAAATCAAATAAAATCTATTAAGATTTTATATTAAAATTTGTAGAATTCTTATTAAACGTCACAAGGGGCGACGTCCACTGGTTTTGATCTGTATCCTTTACTTCAGATGTTCTATTGCGGCAGCCTGTTTTTCTATTCGTAAGCCCGTTGTTGTGTTACGTTTGCAATCTGTAATTTTGTCCCTTGCTTCTGCGTTGTTCCCTCTAGTAGCGTATGTTGTTGTCTTCGCTTGTGTCTTGCCTTTAGTGTGACTACTCTTTGCAATCCTGTATGGTAAGACACCTGAAGATGGCCATTTAGGGCCGAAACATGTGTCGAAAGTGAAAGTGTAAATAATAAGGAACAATTTGTTGCACTGTTGCCGGACTGTGTAGTACATAACAGTTTTAGATATAACAGTAGTTATGCAACAGGATTCCACATACCCAGAAGTATTCGGAGGCCATTAGATAAGAAAGCATAACAGCATTACAGTGAGCATCAAGTTCCTCCATCACAACAGCCTGTACACCTGAAGATAGCCTGGAGGGCCGAAACATGAAGTGAGTAGTAACCGACGTTGCATATAGACGGCATAAAAGTAAAACACAAAGCCAGATTGATGTAGTGCAACAAGATGCTGCAATTTAATATTTCGCTCTACTGTAGCCCTCCAAATATTGCATCAAATTTCACCAACATCATAACATTACCTATACCCGAAGGACAAGCGGGCAGTACCTGTGAACCTTCAAAACCGGAGATAAAATTTCTTTCCCCCTCCTCAGATGTGGTGTCTCTCTCTACCTCCCCACTTTCATTCTCTTCTGTCTCCATCTTTCATGCTCTAAAGAATTATCAGATTTCAGTTTCCACGGTTGCATCAAGACATGTCTTCTGCCATCCTTTCGTTTCGCACCAGTTTACAAACGTACAGGACATCACATCCCGTAAGAGAGTACTCGTACTTGAGTATGGAAAAGGTCAATCTTCTTTTCCACGGCATCTGTAACCTTGAATGGTACTAGTAGAACTTCAAACCTGCCACTGAATAAAACAAAAATGTCTGCAGCATAGCTTACGAGGCTGTTTTCCTTCCTTTTGTTGCCTGATTTAGGTGGCATCTCTCCACGAAACTGTCAGAATCAGCATTCAACCAGTTCCTTCAGAGCCGAAGAGAAACAGGGAATGAGTGACTGACGTACGAGACTCTCTGACAAGCCAGTGACAACCTAGCGCTACAATCACAGAGTCTCAAACAACAAAAAGCTCATTATATGTCCTCTTTCAACAGGATCTGCAGCTAGCGGAAGCAAGATGCGCGGTACAGGAGCCAGAACTGGCGCCAATAGTAGTGGTTCCGGATGCGCAAAAGGTATGCGCAATAGCAAGAAGACAAAACAACAGCAACAAGTCGTACAGTGGAAACAAAGAAATGTGCAAGAAGGGATTGTCATTGTTGATGAAATTCAATTGTCGAAACTTATTAAGAGAGATCCGATTCAGACGTTCTATGAGCTGGACCCAGAACCCTTCGCAACGTAAGTACCACACATTTACAATTGTCAGACTTTGCACGTTGCCGTAGTAACCGCCTGAATTGTTTCAACTGTAGAGTAAACCCTCGCTAATCCGGGATAACTGGGAGGGAGAGGTCAGCCGGATTAAGCGATAATTCGGATTAGCAAAGCAAACTGTAGATCTGAAGACAAAAATAAATTAGAACAAATAAATGGAAAATTTAATGATATAAATAATTCTGGTAAAAATAAATAACAAAATATAATTGTATGGCCTTAATTTAAAAACTATAAAAATACAATAAATTTATTCATCGATAGAAGACTTAGAAACTGTACTTATTTTTTTAACGTAATAATGCAGAGTTCAAGAAACTGTCAAGTTTTGTCTCAACAGACAAATGACTCATCTGCCTTCCTAAATGACATTTTTAAAGCATGTACTAAACTGTGAACAGCATTTTTCATTTTTTGATCAGGATTGTCCTACATCTGGAGTAAATGTAACCGGATTACCTAGGGTTTACTGTATGGTACATAGTTAATATTATTTCGAAATGGATTAAGTCTACTACAACAAATATCTCCTGCATATCAAGTGACAGATTCAAATATCTGTATATATTATTACAAATTACTAATTGAAGTAACCCAGGTTAGGTGGGTCCCTTGTCACAACAGCGAGGCGCGTCCTCAGGTTGCGGATGGAGGAAACGTCCTCCAGATATAGAGGGTAACTGCGAATATACTGAATAAGCAACCTCGGAGAGCCGACAAAGGGTGCGTCTTTAGCGTGGTAGTTGGACGTGTGATTAACAACTCCTTGCCATAAATATATAGCTTGTTATGGGGTGATAATATTAAAAGGGATCTTAGAGAAAGAGGGTGGTTTGGGACTGAATTTGTTTACCTTATTTGCCAGTGGAGAGCTCTTGTAAACCCGGTAATGAACATTCGGTTCCGTAAAATGTTGGGAATTTCTTGAGAGTGGTTGAGCGACTGTTTATTTCTCAAGAATGGCTCCACGGAATTAGTTACGTAGTTTCTTAGCTAGTTCCTACATCCCTCTTTACCCAAACTATTTCCGGATAGGGACTAGCTCTGACGATTGGGTACAGCTGAGTAGGGTTTGCCTGAAAACGGAGACAGAATCCAGTCTCCGAAACGTTGTTTTAAATAAAAATAAAACGGCGTTTTAGATAAAAACAGGACGATGGGTAATATCCAAAAATACGCGTATAATAAAAGGTAAAGTTGTCCCTGTGCTTAACTAATCAAGCACTACGCCGTGAAGACGTATGGGAGAGTGGATGTATATATCCGCATTTTCTTGACCTCGGCTGGAGGTGAGTGGTCAGCTTCACGCCCCGACCGTTTTACCTCCGGTGAAAGAGCCCCAGTACCCATTGGACAGGAGGTTTGGTGGACCCCAGGGCCAGTCTGGACGACGTGGAGAAGAGAAAATTCTTGACCCTTCCGGGACTCGAACTCCGACTCCTCGGTCTTCCATCCCGTAGCAAGTCGCTATACCGACTAAGCTACCCCGGTTCCTATAATATTTGCATTAACTAACTGCATGGAGCTGAACCCTTCTTGAGAAGGCAGTCACTCAGCTATTCAATAATTTCACAACATTTTGTCAAACCTGGAGGTTCTTTTCAGTGTTCAAAAGAGCCCTCCACCGGTCCCTATCCTGAGTCAGAAAAAAACAGCCCGTATCACTCAATCTTATTTATATAAAATCCATTTTAATATTATCCTCCCACCTATGTCTGTGTTCCTAGTACTCATTTTCTTTCTGGGTACCACAGACCACTAGGTTTTGAAAGGCAAAAGATGTCTCCAGCCACTCTGGCCGATATTTTAAAATCTCCTTTCGTTTCAATTTTTACCTGAAGTGAAGACTGTTTGTGTCATTTGTCCATGGCCTGCGGACCACCTGCATGTGACCAGGCAGCCGTCAGCATACCTACATGCGTGGCTGAGGTAATAAAGCCGCAAGCCGGTTTGTTTCTTGTGCCCGTATTGTGTGTCAACTGAAGGGGACCTACAGCTTGCTAACTCTAAACCACTGAACCTGCCATTAATCTCCACAACTGGTCGCTGATAAACAGAAAAAATATGTCTGTATGTACAGTCCGAGTTTTCTCACCTGGTCCTTATCTGCAGAATGCGCAGTGGGTTGCTCGAATACACTATCTTATTTATTTACTCATGGAGCTGAGCCTTTCTTGAGGAGCCGCCAATTCTGCAGCTACTCAAGAATTTCCCAGCATTTCATGGAACCTGGAAGTTCATTACCGTGTTCAAAAGAGCCCTCCACTGATCACTATCCTGAGCCAGTTCAATCAAATCCATACCATCCCATCCTATCCCTCTAAGATCCATTTTAATATTGTGGTGGACAAAGTGGCGCTGGGGCAGGTTTTCTCCGAGTACTTCGGTTTCCCCTGCCAATCTTTATTCCACCAATTGCTCCACAATCACCCTCACCTATCGTCTGGGGCTGGCACAATAGGCCAGAAGTGGCCGCAGTACAAGGGACTTAGTCACATCCCACTAACATAAAAAAAATTTACGGATTGTAAAGAGTTAGTCAGTGGCTTTTGTTACGCTGCATAAGCCTTCCTCTGTCCCCCACATGTAGCTTCAGCCACTGCCCCGCTACTTCTGGCCATATTTCTCCGTCGTAATCCAGATTCCATGTTTACAAGGGCGAGTAAAATGAAAATTTTAAAATTGCGATAGAAATTCTAAACACGGTGCCATTGTCCTGTAAGTTGACAGTATCGTTACCAGGTGGCAGCATGTTGTAGACGAGTCCCATGACGTCATGGCCGCCCCACTAGAGACATGCGCAAAAGAGGAGCAGGGTTCTGCCATCCGTTTTTTGAGCAGACAAGAGGCAAAATCTATCGAAATTCATCTGCGAATGAAGATTCAGTACGGTGATACATGTCTTGCTTGTTTCACAGAATCCGAAATCTTTATGACCTAAAGAGCTCTGTCTTCTGGGATGTAAGTCAGCACAAAGTTCCGGAAGAACATGTTTCCACCGTGAATTTCAACTGACCATATACTACAAGCCGGAAGTTCGTGGGTTCGATTACCGATTACGTCTTTGGATTTTTCAATTGATCTAATCCTTCCAGCCACACTACTTGTCCTCGTTGTATAGCCCCCAGCACGAACCGCACAGAAAACGCCTCTTACATTATTGCGCGTTCTCTCGTTGCCGGAGAAAAAACGTGTCCACAGAGCTGTTCCCTGGCAACGGATCTGCATATCAGAGTACCAAAATGAATTCTAATCATACAGAGTAACTCCCATTGCACAACTTCTCTCTTCCGCTCACAACAAAGTGCACTTCCGAGCACTTTGCCTTTTTCTCTTCCTAAAGCTTTCCCTTCCCTCAAACGTACCTCTGTCAGAAGGACGAGAGGGTACTGCCCGGGAACCTTCAAACCCGAAAAATTTCTGTACTTCCCCCCTTAAATATAATGTTTCTCACTAAACTCTCCTCCTCCCAAGTTTCTCTTATGTCTCTCTCGCTCTCTGATTTTAATTCATCACAGTTAAGTTCTTTGCTCTGAAGGACATCAAATTATCTTTCAAATTATGAAACACACAGTTCATCAGAAAACCGCTTTTCCGCTGCCCTTGTCTGCAGAATTACGAAATTAGTTATTTTAACAAACAGGCCAGTGAGAACTGCTTAGGACATGGACAAATTTTATGCAGGGCAATGACGTATCAGGCTGTCCTGTCGACTTGGTATTACCTACTATCCTCTAAAATTATCTCTCTCCTTCGGTTTATTTGCGAGAAATCATATTTTTTTAGCGTCAAAATTGGTTGCGCACGGCTTTTCCGCCAGTATTATCGACTGAACCCTGTAGTCTGTTTCACTCTATTTATAAAAACACAACAGATTATTCCATCTACTAATAGCTGGGACCGCTCAGTCGGTGTAACAACGAACTGCGATACAGACGGCCTGGGATCAATTCAAGGAAGAGACAAAATATTTTACTGCACACCACAGTGTCCAGACTGGTCCTGGGACCCACACAACCCCCTGTTCCATGGGTACAGGGGGACATTCCCCCGGGGTTAAAGATGACCACTCACCTCTAACTAGTGCCGAGGTTAAGACTATGTGGAACTATACATCCACTCCCCATACGCCTTCATGGCATAGTGCTTAATTGGTTAAGCACAGGGACAACTTTACATTTACTCCAAAGCACATGGCGCAGACTGGAGCCGCTAACAAGTAGCTACTGTGAGACATGACAGGTGTTAGTTGTAGCGTGCATTTTTTGACACGCTGTGGCGGTGTGTTGACAAATTGTTAATTAAGCTGCCAACCAATGACAGTAATCGACTTACAGCGACAAAGTAGCTCATCAGATACTAGTACGCATGCGTCAAGCATCACATTACAAGTCGAAGCTAATCCACTAACTTGTTAATGGGTAAATACATGATCCACACGACTTAATGTATACTGAGGCTTTAAAAGACTAAGTTTTCGTCGTAAATTAAAAGAGAACTTAACATAAAGATTAGGCATGTTGGCAACACTATTAAATCACTCTTAACACCCGAGTGTCTGCACGCTTGAAACATGTGAACTTCTGAGAAGATTTGTATTCAATTTCTTGTGAGAGAATTTTACAAAAATAAACTGTTCATATATTCCAAGACTGGTAAATGTCTGCGAAGAAGAGGAGAGCTAGTACACGACGCATGCTAGAGACTTGAATGGTAGGCTGCATACTGAATTGCAATGGAAGGAAGAGATATTGGCTTAACATTTTTTACCCCAGTACTTACTATATTTACCACCTGTTTAAAATAATAAAACATTCTGCACACAGAGTGTATCTGTGTGCTCCGTACGGTTCTCACAGTGAACAGCGACTGTTTCCCTAAACAGCATTAACCGGTTGGGCTCTGTAGTGGAGACGTAATGTGTTTCCTGTGAGGTACGGGCTGAACACACTAAAACTCTGCAT